TTAATAAAATATTGATGAACAACTGAAAAGTGACAAGCCGTCCATCTCTGATGATTCAAATGTCAATTTATTGTCCTGCAGTTGCCATGCAAATGTTATAAAATTGTAGCTATTTACCTAAATCCCAACTAATTTTCCATGTATTCTCTCATATCATCTGGTGGGAACCTGGGTTTTTAATTTTACTTAATTTTTTAAAAAGTATTATGAAATATCAAACATACTGACAGGTATGGAAAATAAATAAAAGAAATATTCAGTCACCAATCATGCAATTTTAACAAATATTACCATTTAGCCATATTTACTTTAGTTTTCCTTTGCTTGTTGAGGAATAAAACATAAGAAATAAACTTGACATCCTATTATATTCCTTCCTAATCTCATCTCCCTCTGTCCAGCAATACACACTATTCTGAATGAGATGTATGATTTTCTTTGCTATGTTTTTAATTCTTTTGCTATATATATGTGTGTGTTTATAGACACACATCATATACACGTAAATGATATTATTATTATATATATTATTTTTATGTAGTCTTAAATTTAAAAAAGTATCAAATTCTAAATATTATTCTGAAACTTAATAGTGTCACAGATGAAATATTTCTATGTAATTTTTAATGTAGATAGATACAGTCAATTAATTTTAACTGCTACATAGAATTCCATTGTACTAACTGCCATAATTTATTTAGCTATTTCCTCTCTTAGGTTCTTTTTAATTTTTGCTATCCAAACAAAGCATCAGTGGTCAACCTTGTGCAAGTTTCCTGGTGCTTCCTTAAGGTAAATATATAGAGGAAATCACTGTATGTTTAGCTGAAACTTTACTAAATATTGCTCTTTTTTTTTCCTCCAAAAGGTGACAATTTACACCTCCGCCAGCAGTGGATACAGATTACCACAGCTCTAAACACTTATGAACATTTATAATTGCCAGATTTCAATTTATTTTTTTGTCAGTCTTATAGGTATGGAAAGCTATCTTGTCATTTTAAATTGAAGTTCCTTGATTGCTAAAGCTATTAAGCAGTAACACAAACGTTTATGGGGCATTTGGATTTCCTTTTAGATGAATTGTGTATTTATACCTTTTGGCCATTTTTTTTCCCCATTGACATGTATGCCTTTTCTCACTGAATTGTGGGAATTCTTTATGTTAGAATAGTGATTCTCAAAGTACAGTTAAGAGACCTAAGGAGATCTTGACATCTTTTTCAGAGTGGGTATGAGGATTTCTCCCTTTCAACTACATATCTGTGTAAGGCTGGATTTTCTTCATATATATAAACTAAAATAAGGTTGCAATAGATTGAATCCAGAATCAGATAAGATAATTCAATACCTTCATTAACATAGACTTTATAGAGATTTGCAAAAATCTAAACAAGACCTCTCTTGTCATTAAAGTTATTTTCTTTTTGTTATGGGAAACTTATTTTTTGGTAAATATGCCACTTATGATAACATACAATTATTTTATGATTATTTTAAATAAATCAATAAACATTTAAAACATTTATCAGTTTTCTACTTTTAAAAGTATATATATATCACAAAAGAAAAGCTCTTTGGGATTCTCAACAATTTAATTTATTGTTATGGGCCAAAGTTTTAGATTTCTATTTTACACGCTAATCCTGTGAAATTAATTGGTTTCACAAATATCTCTTCTTAGTCTGTGGGTTGTCCTGTAATCTCATTTGTGATCTATTTTATTGTGTAGAAGATTTAAATTGTAAGAATTTTTAATCTTTTCTACTTTCATTTGTGCTTTCGCTGTCATATTTAAGAAATCCTTCTCTACCTTGAGTTTATGGAAATATTCTCTCATGTTTTTGTTAAGTGTTTTACAGTTTTATTCTTCACTTTAGGTCTATAATTTATCTAGAATATAGGTTTTTTTATATGATATATATACTTTTAAGAACTTTATATGGATAACAAATTGTGGCAACATTCTTCATCCACTCATTGTTCCTCATCAACTTTCACTTTACCACTTACCTATATAAGTTAGAATTTGTCCCTGAGATTATTCTGTTTATTAGTCTAATTGATTTATTGTTGATCAATCAGTCTTTTTAACTATTAATGCTTTAGAGTAAGTCTTGATATAAAGTCATATAAGTCCCTTGAATTCTTCTCTCACTTTTCCTTCCTAAAAACATTCTGGGATCTTCTGGGTCTTTAACCTCTTCAAGTTAATTTTAGAATCAATTTCTCTGATTACATTGGCAAAATTCAAATTGCATAGAATTTATAGGTAAATTTATATAAATGTTATAATATTGAAGCTTTTTATCCATGAACATTGTCTATTTCACCAATGTTTTAGTTCTTTCTTTATGTCTTCCAGTAAGATTTAAAATTTTTTTCATACCTATGTTACATTATTTTTGTTAGATGTATTTCTTATAATTTTATTTTTATTATTAATACAATTTTCTAATTAAATTTTATATTATTTAATTTTGATAAAATAAAATTTTTAATTTAATTTTGATAAAAAAGACTATTTTGTATTTTTTAAAAATTATACAATGTTTCTGAACTCTGTTTTTACTTCTAAATACTTGTTTATAAATTCTCTTCATTTTTTAAATGTAAAAATCACAAAATATGAGAATGATGATTTTATTTTTTCATTTTCAATTATTAAAGTTTTGATTATGCTTTGGCTAGAACCTCTTTCCCTGAGTTGGAAAGAAGTAGCAAAAGTGGGCATCCATGTTTTGTTATTAATTGCAAATGAGTGTCTCTAATGTTTTCCCATATATCATGATTGTTGTAAGTTTTGGTAGATATCATTTTCTGGGTAAAAACATTTCCTTCAAGTTCAAGTTTGGTTTGTAAGTTTTTATTGTGAATGAGGATTGAATTCTATAAACATTTTTTCAATATGTATTAAAAATCCTCTCTTTTTTTTCTCTTAATATGATGAGTTGGATTAATAGATTTTTCTAATATTTGGTCATCTTTATTTCTGCAATTAACTATAATTAATCATGATATTATTAAATACATTACTGACTTTGTTAATTGACATTTTATTTTTTATGATTTTGACATCAATTTACATAGGTAACTTGATTTTTATTGACTTGTTTTATTGTCAACATTATAATATCATAGAAGTTGGGGAGATTTTCCTCACTTTTTTCCCCACTTAACTTTGTTTTCTTACCAGGGATTTCACATAAATAGAAGTTGTCTGTTTCTTTAACTTTTGGTAAAACTCATAAGTCAAGTTTAAGTCTGTCTGCATGTAAATATTTGATAGATTTGAAAACAGTGATATAATTCATGGTGTAGGTTCTCTATTACTCTTGATAAATTATAACATTCTAAATTTAAGTTTTTACATTTATTAGCAAAAACAATTCACATTCACAGAATTATATTTTTCTAAATTCTATTTGCACTTTTTTCTTCATTTATTTTACCATGGGGTAGTCTATTTTGTTAATTTGCAAAAAATAAAACAAAAAAACCCAAGCTATTTGTTTTGTTGATTATCTCTTGTTTCTTTATTTTCTATCTCATTGAACTTACAGTTACCCATACTGGTTACATTCTATTTCTTTTTTACATTAAAAAATTTCTTGAGTTGAAAGCTTAGATCATTTTTTACCTTTCTCCCTTCTATAGAAACATTTAAAGCTTCAATTTCTCCTCTAAGTACTTCTTTGCTGTATCCCAAATAACATTTAATAGGTAATGCTCTACAAGTGTGGTTTTCATTTTTTACTTCCTTGTGTGCATATGGGAATTTTTTTGTAATTCTGTTATCAATTTCTAATTTTATTTCATTGTCATTTTGGGGTAAATACTTCTATTTTTTGCCTTGAGAGTTATTTCATTTATTATAACCCTTGACTCTTCTCTACCTTACCTACCCTATCCTGGGCATATGAGATGTTTTATTTAGTTGGTAAATTTAAGAAGATTAAACTGACAAGAGTGGATAATTCTATCCAATTCTTGGGTTAAGTCATCTAGGCCATTTGGTTTTTATTCTACGTGTTCTTCAACATTTTAAACTTTCTACTCTAACTCTTTGGTAAGAAAGATAATACTTTGCCTCTTATTTGCTATTATATGTCATATTTCTTAATTATTTCAGAACACAAGTAGGAATAAAAAGATTATTTGTTGAACTCCACATTCTCCACTAGATATTAATTCTTTTGTTTTCATTGATACTATCCCTGTGTTATTCAGAGACAATGACAAGTAATAGTCTGTGGTTCTTGATGAATATGTCGTATATTGCCTATATTAAGTGAATGATTCCATATATGTGTATACATATATACAAAACATATAAATATATATGTTCATATATATTCTATGTCAAATTTAGATTAAAATTATTAATTCTTACCAAAATTTGATTTATCAATTTCTGAGAATATAGTAAAATCCTCATTTTGCTGTGGATTTGCGTTTTTTTCCTTAATTCTGTCATTTTATTTAAATAAATTGAAGATACTATTAGATTCATACCTGATTATGACTGTTATAGGTATGCAAATAATGTGTTCCTAATTATCTCAGCCTTCTTTAATTCATAAAACTTTAATTCATAAAACTTTAATTCATAAAACTTTTTACACTATTTTATATATAATTTATGAAAGGTGGTGAGATTTCCTGTCCTCTAAATCATTAGAATTCAGAATCATACCTTTAATTCAATTCTCAGCAGTGAGATCTTAGCAAATTTACTTATTTAACAGAAAATTCTTTACCTTGTGCTTTTGCTTAACACAAAACTAAAATGAGGAGATTTCATGAATGGTAGCACTCACCATCACATGATTTTGTTTCTAACATTTGCTCTGGGCACAAATGTTGATTCTCTAGTTCTTGTATAATCACTGCTCTGGATCGGACCTGTATTCCACCAAAACCTAGATCTTCACCATTCACACAAGTCAGTTGACACAGGCTCCACGAAGACCAGTCCTTCAAATAACAGTCACCTGTAAAACAGTTCTGTAGTTTATACCCACACCCATAGAGAAAAGCCAGTCAGACAGTAATTTTAATTCTAGCCCTACTGGGGGCAATGTTTATATGTAATATTTATAAGGTTTCAATAAGTATTTCATCTTTCCCAGTTTGCATGTAGTTTTATAATTTTGCATAAATATTGTTATTTTCTGAGTGGCTGTCATTGCTCTATGTGTTACTGAATGATATCAAATGTAAACTGCGGCCTAAAGGGACTTGTCTATTATGATTCATCTCCTCTTAAGACATAACAATTATTTGATTAAAACCTACCACCACTGTTATCATTACCATAGTAAAGGGATTTATTAAGCATTTGGTACTACTCAAAGAAAAACTAAATATACACAGAACTTGTCTTCCAGTTATTTAGCATTTCAAAATAGCTTGAAGTCCAAGGCTGATAAAGCTGGTATTTATGTTTTATTTCTATTTCTTCCCAGTGGAGTGGAGGTCAGAGAGCCAATTGAGCAGTTGCAGTACTGGAAATACTTGTCACTTCCTCTGATCTCTGTCTTCAATCAATTTCTCATTTAAAAAAATTACTCATAGAATAATAAGCAACATGAAAAATGATCACATATCATCAATGTATAGATAGCTGCATTTTCACAATCTGATTACATAATCATGCAATCAACATCCAAATCAAGGAACAGAACATTCCCAGAATCTCAGAATCCTTCCTCATGTGATATACGAAATTGTGCCATGTGGACTTTTTTTTGTATCTGGTTTCTTTCTCTCATTTATGTTTGTCAGAACCATCATATATTATGTATTTCTAATTTGTTCATTCTTACTCTACTTTATTCCACTGTGTGAATACATTACAATTTGGATTAACATTCTACTGTTGATGGGCATGTGGGGAGATGGAAATTTTTTCTCTTTTGCTTTTGTGACCATTTTAGTGCAAGTCTTTTGATGGATTTATATATGCATTTCTATTGGGTATATATCAAGGAGGGCAATTGCTGGGGCATAGTGAATCCATGTGTTCAACATCTTCAACCATTTTAAGAGCAAAAAAGATTTAATGAAATACACCTTTACCATATACCCATCCATTCTTCAGAACTGACTGCTTGGTGATACTGGTCAGAGTACACAGTTAATTATGATAGACACAAATCCATAAGGGGTTCTTATCACTTTAATTATTTCAGCCATATTACATGAATAATTCATATTGCCTTATATTATGCTGATGATGACTAATATTAGCACAAAGTTGCCTGGAGATCTGATTAATGGGAAAACTTCTTGTGTCATGATTAAGAAATCCTGGCAAGACATGAATTATTGACTAACAGATACACCTATAATAGCAAAGTAGAGTCATTTTTGTAGATCTTTATTAGAATGTCTTTGGCACTCCCAAACTATGGAAAATTCTAGTAATTTTTGGAAATACTAACGAAGAAAAAGCTAATGAAAATTTTCAAGTAGTCTAAAAATGTTTTAGAAACACTTCTATCCCCTAGGAAATGCCACTTTTGAGTTACTCAGTTTTCAATTATGTAGGAAAAACTGTTACAGGTAAAATTTTTTAAAAATTCCTGTCAATAAGAATGTAATATAACTTCACCTTAGTGATTGCAAACTACATGGAAATAAAACACACTTTTTTATTGGTAGGCCTTACGTCTTGGGCTATTCACATTGAACATCTTGTATTTTGCAACAAAACTGAATATATATTTTAAAACTAGTCTATATATAATTATCACTCCAAAATAAACCATGTCAGGCTTCAGAGATTTAACAACAGCATATGAGAGTAAGCCACTACCTTTAACTAAACATACTTTTATATTTAGACCACATGAACCATTGTAATAATAAAATTACATTATGCCTGCCAAAGATATGACAATTAAATGCATGAAATATATTTTGAAATTCATTATTCTACTTTTTAATGCTTATTAGTCTACATATTGCTAGCTTTCAAAACTAATCATTAGTGAAAACTAGCAAGAGAGGAGCCAAAATGAATAGATTGTAATTTATAAGAGAAGAACAGCCTCCTTCAGGATTTGTAATTACTTTAATTAAAATAGTGTGTTTGCCCCGTTCTATGTTATCATGGCATCCTATAATTTTCCTTCAAATCACTTATAATCTTATCTTATTTATATTACTATGAGATTAGCAACTCTCACTTCTGTTAGAAAGTAAGCCATATTGAGTACAGGGTCTGCTCATCTCCATTGTATCTCCAACCTCAAATCTAGGCCTGACCTAATTATACTCGAGGAATAAAAGTCAAACGAGTGGGTGATCATCCTGCAGGAAGTAGAATGAAAACGTGTGGAGTCTCCATAGTAAGGCACACGCCAGTGCCTGGCGAGGATGCCAGCTGGGCTCAGCAAATCCTCTTCGACCAAAGCCAGGAGATCTGATTGTGGAATAGGTAGGCGTCCGACTTTCAGCCTTGGTCACTTTTTGTTGACTCTATGGCCATTCAGGACATCAAAGTCCAAAGGTTCAGTGGCTGGTCCTGCCCAGAGTCCTCACCTGCTGCCACAGCCTCAAGCTGGGTCTGCTATGAAGCAAAATTATTTTATTAAATTGAATTGTGAGTGAGATCTTGAATGAGATCAGGTCAGCTTTAGGGGCAGGAAATGAAACAGGAGAATTGCTGGAGCAACAAAAGGTTCTTAATGGCAGGTGTGGGAATGTCTAAGAAGCAACACGTTGCCTAGCTCTAGAAAGTAAGATTTTATTTTATTATCTTATTTTATATTTTTTTGTTTTATTGTGGTAAAATCACTTAACATGACATCTAGCTTCTTAAATTTTTAAGTGTACAAAACAATATTGTCAACTATAGGCACAATGTTGTACAGCAGATCTCTAAAACTTATTCACCTTATGTAAATAAAACTTTATACCCATTGAAGAGGAGTTGCTATTCAGATTTTTGACTTTTTAAAATAGTCATTAGGCAGGGCGTGGTGGCTCACACCTGTAATCCTAGCACTCTGGGAGGCCGGGGGGCGGATCGTTTGAGCTCAGGAGTTCGAGACCACCCTGAGCAAGAGCGAGACCCCGTCTCTACTAAAAATAGAAAGAAATTAATTGGCCAATTAAAAATATATAGAAAAAATTAGCCAAGCATAGTGGCACATGCTACTGGGGAGGCTGAGGCAGGAGAATAGCTTGAGCCCAGAAGTCTGAGGTTGCTGTCAGCTAGGCTGACGCCACAGCACTCTAGATAGGCAACCAGAGTGAGACTCTATCTCCCCCCAAAATAAATAAATAAATAAACAAAATAATCATTATTTCTTAAACTGGAATACATAAAAATATACATGTGCACAAAGACCAATACTACAGTTGAATGTCCTCAAATTCTATCAGGGGTTATTTCATTTACTGCTATATACAATTTCATTCAGTTCATCTTAATAATAAACTATTAATACATACTACCAATATTATCATATCAAATAATTTTTGTACTAAGGAATGAGTAAATTATGAGTGAATAGATGTATAGCCCACGTTTTCAGCTTTTCCAGCTTGTATGGACTCAATCCTATTTTTTTTAATTTTTGAAAATATATATTATCCACTTTTAAAATGTTCTTAAATCATATCCTTTTACATAGAAAATATGTTTTATGCCTAATCATTATTCTTTTGCTGAATCCTTTAATTTTTTTGAGATTTTATTAAAAGAACACATTTTTAATGAGATATATTTTTTCTTATAATAATTATAAGCAAATTAGGAGAATAAAAGTTTTACATTTGGAGGAAAAATATAGGTAATTCACTTCCAATCTTGTTTATTTCCAGTTCATTAATAAATTATTGCTTCCTTATCTTTCTAAAGGATGAGTTTCCTAACTTATTGTGACCTTAAGTTTCCCTTACAATTTCCTGCATCAAACTCAAATTCCTAAATATTAGCTTATTGTTATCTGTCAATTTTTTACACTATTTGATAAATATTTGCTTTCTACATTTTACTGCATGCACCCATTGTGTCAACATTGAATCTGTATAATATTTTTCAATATTTCTCTTCCATAGTATTGCTTTGTCTTTCAGTTGCAAGTAATCTGCTTTTTAAAATTTTTCTCAATGCTTTACTGATTCTCTATTTTTCTTCATTTTATCTTTTAACTATGGTGTATCTAGGTGTGAGTTTGTTGTTGGTTCTACCCAGGACCCAGAATAAGCTGTAATTATGAGGACTTAAATCTTTCTTTAGCCATTATATGTTTAAACATTGTCTCTCCTTCTTTCTCTATTCTCTCCTTCTGGAAATCCCAAATAGGTCATCTTTAATACCTATTTTCTCAACTTTTATTTCACAGTTTTCCTGTTGAGCATGGGCATAAGACCTTAATTACCATGCCCTGCAGATGATAAAACTCCAGCGGGGTGTCAAAGTGTCAAAAGAGGCCCCAAAGGAGACCTGGACTTCACCCCTACCTGACAGTAACAAGGCAGTGATCCCTTTTACTCACAGGTACAGTGTCTGACTGTTAGCATAGATATTACTGAATAAGAAGACAGCTGACATCCCTTAACTTACATATGCAACCCTTCTTGACCCTGGTTGTAGAAAGAAATCACCAAAGTATAAATTCTGTTTTGCTACCTGGGCAAGGCTGGGTGCAGGTTTCCTCCAGAACCATGTTTCTATTACCATCTATAATGGGTTCAATGTCAGCACAGAATTCCTCATCCACCACTTTGCTGAAATCATCAGCTGACCCATCACTCACTACACATGATATGTTCCTTGTTCTAGTCCCTTCTCCACACTGGGCCTCCTGGAATGGGAGAAGAAATAACTAATTAGGAAAAGAGAAGTAATTAATGACAGAGCTCATCACTTGCAATCATCTTTGTACCACTGATTTTGATTTATGAACAGTTAGAGAAGCATGTGAAACCTTAGGGAAGAAGCCCTATAGAGCACTAGCTATAAAACATACATTGAACAATTTATTTGTTTTCTAGCCAAAGACAGGCAAATAAATTTTCATTAAAATAAACCAGTCTCTAAATGATTTTAAAAGTACAGGGCAGGGAGTATTTGTTATCAAAACTAATTAAATGGTGGTAAAATAGCAAGGCATCTAAAATCTTTAAGAAGCTTGCCATCTGTAAGCTCTGAAAATTTTTTCTGAAACCAAGTCTCTACAGATAAAGAATACATGCTTTCATGCAACTTCTTGAGATTTGATACCTGCACTTGGCACGGAGACCACTGGCCATATTGCCACCGGTAACAGGGCTTCACTGGGCAAGGTTTGGACTGGTCCATCAGGGAAGGGCATGGTCTTCCATCACCCTGAAAGGGCTGGGTCACTGTCCGTCTTCGGATCATTTTTCCTTTAGGAGATATAAAGTGATGCAATTTTAGCGATATGTCATAGTTGTGCAAATACGCATCTTGTTGGGAGAAGACATCACAGTGATACATATATCCTGAAGAGATCCAAGAAAAAGTTAAGGCTCAGAGGTTCTGGAAAGAAAGACACCCAGTCCCACCCTTCTGAAGATGATCTGATTTGACTTAAAGCAAGAGGGACATTTTATTTCATATTCCTTGCCATTAGCCTAATACTAATTGTGGTACAAACAAACCTGTGAGGCCACATGTTTGAGAACACGCTGACCAAGCAGACCATTCAGAAAGCTGACAGTTCACAGGGCATTCCACCATGCAGGACATGTTCATCTGCCAGTTCTTCTCCAGGCCAAGCTGAGAGAATAGAGGGAGATATATTTGTACTGACGCAGAGGGATGGCCACAGTATATTGTCAATGGGGGGAGATAGCCAGAAAGAGAAGAGAGGAAGGGAGAACAAGAAAGCTGCATAGTAGCATAAAAAGATACCGGAAGGACAAACATGACCAACAAGGACAAACATTAACCAAACTGTTAAATTCATAAAAGGGCAGAGGACTAGTGGAGGGCCCCACCCATTGAGCCTGCATACTTAACATATTATTTGAACATTTTCAATAATCAATGGAAAAAGGTAGATTTAATCTCCAAATTGGTTGAATCTCCCCAAATAAGGAACAAATAAGTGAACACACAATTACTTTCCATTAGTTAAAAACCAAGAATATCATCAATATTTAGATCTGCAATTATATCTTCAGGATATTATTGTTTTTATATATTTATGTTAAACTGTAAAGAAAAAGGGAAAGATTCTAAAGACAAATTACCACTCAAGACTAATGACATAATGTATTGAAATAATATAAAAATCAATTTGTTTTTAATTAAGGTGTCTTCCTCAAAAGGAAATGTGAGTTCCCAGAATTTTTTTTTTTAAATGTTGAACATTTTATGTGTATTTTTTACAAAGATTTTCTCTTCTAAAACTGGTCTTAGAAACTAAGAAGTTTAGTTTCTAATAAACTAAAGGGTAAAATTCAATTATTTTGGTGTTAAAACTCTCATCAGATAATAATGTGCCATTTTATTGGCATTTGGGCTCTGTAATTTATCATTTAAATATTCTACTTTTATAATATATGATGAGGTTTCCAGTTCTTCCACTGTATATTCCAACATTTAAAAAGTCTAAGCTACAAAGTAGCATTGAAATAGGAAAATTTAAGAATTTGTTGGTAGAATACAATTTTTTTATTGATAATGCTTGGAATTTTCAAGACCTTTTTTATTTCTACATGAAAGAGAAGTTTATATTTTTTAATTTATACAGCAGAAGATGGCAAAAGAAAATTTCTGTGAAACATTATGCTGTGTTTCAAGTATAGGTCTTGGCTTTAAGTTATCTACTGATAGAGGATGAGATAAAAGCATGTGTACTACGACCCTCTACAAGCACTCCCATTTCAGTCTACACTAGTAATTCTTGACAGAGCTGAGTATTTGGATGAAAATTTTTACCATACCACTTAATTAAACTCTTAAAAATTCTCTTAAAAGTTATGGGAGGTTAATAGGAACTTTAAGGTTGTTATGATGAAAACAATGTGTTACATTTAAGGTTGATAATAGTTTCATGGAGAAAGAGTTTGAATCACAGAATTCAACAATTACTGACTTACTTCATTAGAGAGTTAAAGAGGATGTCTGTTTACAGTTTTTCTGGGTATCCACTAGAACTAGATATTTTAACCCAGTACTACTCTTTTCCTTATATTTATTGATCTCTTCTTTCTCTCTTCCTCTCTCTCATATTTATCTAAACATATGCACCTAAATAAATTAAAAGAAATCTATTTAAGGATCAAAGAATAGGAAAGGAGAAATCAGTTACTTGGTAACAGAAGAGTAAATTTCAGTAAATGTCTGAAAAACACCCCAGATAAAAATACTACATAAATGCTAGGTGGATTTAACTCTAATTATCCTCTTTGTTGAGTAGCAATGCCACCTTTCTTTGTGGTTGTTAGAGAAGCAGCAAGTATTACCTACTACTGTTGCCCTGGATGTAGGGTTTGTACACTCAAATTTTAACTCCTTTAGGATAGTATTTGCTAGAATGTTAAAATTTGAATACCCACTTGTAACTGCAGCATTCAAATATTATAATATTTGCACATAAAGGTAAACTTATATAGGTTCACAGATAATTTAAATTAGTTATTTCCCAGGTTTTTACTTATGTTTTATTTAAGATATCAAGACCCTATTTATAGCTTTGTCCTTTAGTCATATGAAATAATTTAAAATTGGTCATGTATGGCTTCGGTTCAGCTTTCAAAAAACTCTCAGAGCTCTTTATTTTATGTTTAATTCTGACCCATGGGAGCATTTATGTGTGCATTTAAAACAAACAAACAAAAAAGGATATATTAATCAACTAGAAGTAGATCATGGGAAGCTCTCCAGCCAGTATATACTGTAATAGTCTTCATTAATAATAATGTTATTTTTTATAATAGCTATATCACTTCAATGTCATCAGTTTCTAAACTGAAATAATTCAAATGTGAAATTTTCAATTATTTAAATCTAAGGTACAAATAGACTAAGTTATAAGATTACAGAAGGCAGCATTTATTAACTACACAATGTGTGTTTGAAACGGATGTGTTCTTGGCACATGTGGAAGTTCTGCTTCTGTGGACAGAGATACAAAAAAATTAAGATAGATCCACATGATAAAGATATCAAATGAATTAAAATATTTTCATCTAGAGTTTTCCTTTAGGAGTTGGAGCTATTTACTGCGGGCTTATAATAACTTTTATAATGTGTAAACAGAAGTCGTGCAACCATGTCTACAGAGCTCTAATGATGTGATAAGCTCCTTCTGGTCATTCCAGATCTGGCTGGTATTTGATCCTTGAATCTCAGATGCATGGGGAGTCAAAACATGGCAGGAATGTGAGGATCATTTTGGTATGGAAATTGGACAACATTATTACACCATGAAATGTAGCTTCATGAAAACCAAGAAAGGCCAACTATGTTTCCTCACATTTCAGAAGCTCCTATCTAGTTAGGACGATGTTACTATTATCGATTAGAGAATTACCAGTACAATTCTCCATACCTAAAAGATAATAATGGCAGACTCCATTCCTTTGTTTGAATTCTAAGCTCTCTCTTAATCAGACCTGAGTAATTAGACTCTCACAGCTGAGTATTAGATCCTAATATCAAAATCTGCCACCCAACCACATGTGATCAATGTTTAGCAACAAAGAATAAGTGATGGATCTTGGCAGGTGTCCCGGGTACTACACAAAATTCATAGCAAATTACAAAAGATGATGAGTAGTCTGATTAAGATTTATTGCCTTTATTTACCTTGATTACTTATTGTTCCCCAAGCATTTCTTTCAGAATAGGCTAATTAGTGTACCTTTGGGCTCCAAGCAGGACAAAATACAGGAAATTATATGTAGAAATCAGTAGTGTTGGACATTATCTCTTTTCAAGTGCATATTTAACAGCCTGTGAATAGTGCAGAAAAACATCTGCTGGCAGTAAGCTTCATGGAGCATAGGTCACTTGGCTCAGCATGACTTGAAATTATTAGGGAAGAATTTACTCACAAAGATAAAACACAGCATCCACTCACCTCTTCACAATATTTCAGGTCAACCGACTTGCCATCACTTCGAACACAATCCAGCATTCTTGTTTTAATGCCATTTCCACAAACTGCCTTCTCACTCAGCTGACATGTACTCCAGTCTGAAAAGAACGAAGAAGCCCATCAGAACAGAAGGCTACGTACGAAACAGATTTCAAATGAAATTTTGATGACCTGAATCCCATACTTAATTCACAACTGCTTCCTAAGCCCCATAATCAATCATCCCACATGCAGAGCATATGGGTCCCAGCTTTGAACATATCAGGAGTCAAATGGAATTGCTGGGGTTGCACATAGCTACAGGGATTATTCTTGAAGGCAGATGTCTACTTGACAATCTTGACAGCTAGCCGTTTGGCAATATTGTAAAAATGGCTTTGGCTTACAGATCAATGTCACTTAAAACCTTTTTTCCTAATAAAAGTAGAATTTTAAATCTTGGCATTATTTTTATATAACAAAATAATCATAATTTTAGTGTATGGTACTTTAACTATGTAGTTATATTCAAATAAAACACCATGTATTTCACTTATTGTCTAAATACAGAGTGCACATTTATTTATTTCAAAAAATCACTTCGGCTATATTTATTTAATTCTCTTATTTTATGTCTTTCATAAAAATAATTCTTTAATATATTTTTACAGGGTAACATGGCATGTCTCAGAGAACCTTGATTTCCTTTGTATCATCAAAAGAAATTAAAAAGAAAAACTAAAAGAAACAAAAAGCCAATACAACTGTTATGTGTCATTGTGCAATTTCTTGAGTTTGTTTCAGCGTGAAAAATTCCAAAGTAAGCTGGAATGTTGTCCCAAATCATATGAACCAATAAAATATTTTCTTTCCTAGAGTATTTGCCTTGATGAGATTAAATAAATTTTAGGGGGAAAATGAAATTTATAATATGACTGTTTTTCTGAAAATACTCATGTGTTTTTCTTTATCTGCACCATTTATAGTACTGATTTATAATCTTTGGCAAGTTTAAGATTGCTGACATTTTTATATAAAACTGTTTATGTTTATAAACTGCCCATACACCCAAAGAACTGTTGCCACAGTATGACACAGCAATTAAACATCTTCTGAAAAAGAAAGAGATCTTTCATTAAAGCTGATACCTGTGGTAAAAATATTTCTTTTATTTGCACCTCCCCAGAGTGGGAGGATGTGTTAAACAGGATCTCTTAAAATATTCACAACCTACTTTAAGGGCTAATGTTTGTGTGATATTTTCATTCTTTATATCTTGATGTTTACAAAAAAAATAGAACAAATAAATATTTCTGTTATTTACTAAGTAATAATTTCTGGGACAGTAAGCAGCATGTCCAAAAGGCCCACAGATGGCGATGTACTGATGTGAAGGCTTCAGGGCTGATCCACATGAGATTTGGCCTTCAACTCTGTGATCAGTTGACTGTCCACATACCTGTTACGTTATAATCATAGTGGTAGCAGTTTTTGTTCAGGTTACAGGGTTCCTTCTCCACAGGATCAGGGCAAGATCTTCCTTCATCAGCAGGTTGTCTGATGGGGTCAGCTGACCTTTGCCGGAAACTGCTTTGATTGCAAGGCTTAAAAAGAACAACACAGCTTTTCAGAAAGGTAACTACTCAGCCACACAGCAGCTAGTGTTATTAGGGAGAGCACCAAAAGCAGGAGGTAGAACATTTGGGCCACTGGTTAACTTGGAGAAGGCAGTTAACCTCATTATGCCTCAGTTTTTCTGGGTATAAAATGAAGGTGTTGGATGAGATTCCGATGTCCCATCCAGCTATAAGGTGCTTAAGATGCTTTGTGGCAAATACTAATACACATATCACCTCACATCTACACACATACGTATATGGTCATATTCTTTATTGTGGAATGCTAGTAATATATATATATATATATATATATATATATATTATATGTATTATATATATAGTCTCTTAGACCTCAAAAAACTAAGTTAAAGATGACTTTAAATGATTATCTAGGTATTAGTGATTTTTTTTTCCTAAAGCACACATACACGTGCACACAAACACAATTTCATATTAGAAAGATGGGCTTGCAACTCTCCTACAGAGAATATGGTCTTCTGAAAACATTCGGTTTCTAAGAACAGGGAGCAGGTACGGGCAAGCCTCCTTAGACTTTTTCAGGTCTAACATAATTGCTTCCTCCTCTGCACCATTGTTCTTTGGTTGCACCATTGGAATAACACTGTCCTGATATGATGGGAATGATATAAAGGCCTTGTTCCTTTTTACAGAGTGAGTGCACTGAGAGAAGATTTATGTTTTTTTATGTCTGTGTGTTCTCCACACCTAAGGCAGTTCCTGGTAGGCAGAAAATGCTTAATCTATGTTTGTTTGATGAAAGCCTAAGTGAGGCAACATGGTAAATTAAAGGTGAAATATAAAGCCCAAAAAGCACAATTATTCAATTAGTTGAATTTCATTCTCATCCAGACATTTCTATTGGCAAATTCTTAGAGGTATGAAATGCATTTTATCAATTCTCTCTTTTGTACACGGTAAAGCTTCAATTATTCTTCTAAAATAATTATCCTTGGTCATTTAAAACAGAAACCAAATGGATAAAGTTCCAATTTAGTGGTTCCTGTTATTAGAACCCCTGTTAATAAGTTTAACAATTGGCCAGTGTTCAATATTCCCTAGTTTATAAAAATGGAATCTCTTTGCAACACAATCTGAGACAGTAAGAATCTCACAATTATAAACATGGTTAGACAATGTAGAATACAGTACAACTATTTGCAGTAACTTCAAATCTGAGGCTATGAAATTAGAACAGAAAATCAATTGCATATTCTTGTGGAACAGTTGATTCTTTATTGCAATTTAACCTGTATTAAAGTCACCTGCCAGCCCTGTTTTGCTGCTGCTATATCAGTTGACTGCCGATCAGCATCTTTAATAATGTTAATATTGAGATGGAAAATCAATTTCTCCTTGTGAAATATACACCATAGACTGTTCTTTGAAACTTTTTTATATAGTATTTCAACGAATTATCCACATTAGCTATATATTTTCCCATGCTTTTAACGCTGTTTTTTGAAACATACATTTTTTCCAAAGGTTCCCAAGGGTAAGCCAAATGTTCTACGTAAGCAGCCAGTTCTGTTTTAAATGACTTTCTTCCACAGTGTCCCTTGGAAGAGCCCCTGCTGGCTGTTGAAATCTAGAAGCTTTGTGTGATTTGAAACTCTCAGCTGGCGTTCCAGGCCCAAAGGACACAGAGTCGGTGTGCAAAAAGAGATTCACTGATGTGCAGCTTTCTTCTTTCTACCCAGCCTCTTACCCGGGATCTTTTTCTTTCTTAGTGGTGATACTCCTGCTGCAGTACCCCCACTGTGTGAAAGATTATTCCTACCATTTAAATAAAATGGATTGGGCAAAAAGCAAGGAATGACAATAGCCTGACACTATTAAAGTACTTTTACTAGCACTCACTCATTTTCCGTTTTACCTGGAGGGAATCGTTATAACCACTGCAGTTTTTTTAACATGCTGTGTATTTATAAGGCAAACTGAAGGCCTTTTGTGGCGGGATGGGAGGATGGGTTGAGAAGGAGCATGAAGCTCATAAGAGGTCCAATTGTTCCTCTGTGGAGAGGAAACATTGCTGACTTTAAATGGCACAGTCAGAGAATGAAGAGACCAAGAAAACACACCATGCTTTGGTAAATATGACACACAGGCAGATTTTACATTGACATTATATGTTCTTAATAATATGTTTAAAACTTCAGTGGTAAAAAAATTAAGTAAGCTCTTTTGCCTTTGCTTTGTTGGTATAAAAAAAGAAATTAAGTAAGCTGTATACTAATAAAATAGTACAATCATCTCACCAAAGCACATCGGGTCCATGGACCCCATTCAGATATCACACAGTCCTCAGGACATGGTAATTTGCACTCTCTAGAGCCCAGGGGCATCTCTTCTGGGTCACAGAGGTAATCCTCTACATGTTCAGAAGGGCCATCTGCTGTATTCTGCATGCACCTAGAATAGAACATACATATCTTCCAGAAAACACACATATATTCTAGAAATGAGGAAATCAGGACAATTAGAATAACGGTTAACTCATAGGACAACAGGTGGTTCTCCTTAAGACATAATTATAGGGGTTGGGAGCAGGAAGCTTTGTATCTAATGAATCAAATTCTCCAAAAATGGGGACTTAAAAGGATCTCTGCCTCCACCAAATATTTGTAGTGCTTCTGCATGATTTAAAAATACATGTTTTCATGCATTATCATAAACTTTAAATATAAGATACATTTACATATACTGTGTATATAAATTCTATATGTCAGGTGATCTTCCTCTGAAAGGAAAAAGTTCATATGATGCAGAAACTAATGAAGAGTGGTCCAAAGAGATTCATAGAGAGGTTGCAATTTTGCCATATAATGCATTTTTTTCTTTTTAAAAAAGTGATGTATTCTATAGAGAAGGTAGAGTTGAGTTATATACTGCGAAAAACCAGGCATACTGAAACCTCTAAGTAAGAGGCTTCATTAGGCATTTTTAAAGATAACTAGAGGCATTTATCAACTTGTTTTGTAAAGCAATATGGAGATACCTTAAAGCGATACAACTGAATCTACCATTTGATCCAGCAATCCCATTGCTGGGCATCTACCCAAATGATCCAGTGACACTCTACAAAAAAGACACCTGCACTCGAATGTTTATAGCAGCACAATTCATAATTGCAAGGCTGTGGAAACAGCCCAAGTGCCCATCAATCCAAGAATGGATTAATAAAATGTGGTATATGTATACCATGGAGTACTATTCAGCTCTAAGAAACAATGGTGATATAGCACATCTTATATTTTCCTGGTTAGAGCTGGAACCCATACTACTAAGTGAAGTATCCCAAGAATGGAAAAACAAGCACCAGATATATTCTCCAGAAAACTGGTATTAACTGACTAGCACCTAAGTGGACACATAGGTACTACAGTAATAGGGTATTGG